ATGCCACTTCGCCAATACAGAAGGCCGGGACGAGTAGAAATATAGAAAGAGGAGCGGAGAAGGCTTAATGTTGACACACTTACACAAATGTTTGAAACCTTGTAATTGCGCCCAGCTGTTCGGGTGCAATTGGGTAGGGGCAACATTCAACACCCTCAACACCCCCATAGTAAATTCATCAAACGGCAGCTTGACTTTGAGATCCCGAATGAGGCAGTCGTACATGTAAAACGATTCCATCTTCGCACCACTTTGATCAAGGCAAACCATATCCGGGTTCGGAAAGGCATTATTCCGGCATGACCGAACCCCAATTGGATAAGGTTCCTCGGCGGCACCAAAATTCAAGCATTTGGTGTAATCCAACAAATTGGTAATCATGCCCGTGTCTCGGTAACGTGAGTAATGGGAGGTCACCTCCCCGTTTACCCATTCATAACCTGACACTTCGGACGGACCGTACCGCTGCCGAGTTGACACGCGTTTTTTCTTTTGTTGGACCTCTTCGCTCCCACTAGTAGAAGTCTCTCCTGATGAAGAAAGACTTTCATCCGGCCTTTCAGCATCAATAGGGGACCGAACCATGCTAGAACGACTTGAAGTGTTAGACGAAGACCCCTCGGATGCAGACGACCGAGAGCTGCTGACCGAAGAGCTCGATGAAGTATTAGACATAACAATAAAAACTTACCAATTTCTTTTCAAAACCACAATCGCTCTTCGGATCGGCCTCTTAAACCTTCGGCTACTACAATTCGGATGAGAGCAATACGTGCGAATGGCCCTACCACTCAACCTATTTATAAGCTCAAAAAGAGGCGGGAAATTTCAAAATTTAAAGGAAGATGTAACCGTTCGATCTCCGAGATCTAACGGTTACGATTATGCAACCGTTCACTTTACCCTGGTAACCGTCCTTGTTCTACCCTTGAAGAAAGCTTCACCTTCCTTCAAGGCTGGGGGGCAGTGTACGGGTAGGGGCGTTCGGCCACCTCTGGTCGGCCGCCGAATGGCAGTATTTGGTGGCCGAACGGCAATCGGCCACCAGGACCGAACTATCATTACTCAGTGCTCTTAACCCGTGATTAGGGGTTAATCAGATGATTAAAGTGTATTACCTGATATGGTAAATACGTTGCAGGGCCCATGGGGTCCAGGGCCCATAAATGTCAGTATAAATAGCTCAGGTAAAAAGGTAATGTCACTGTTCATTAATTATCCTAGATATCTGTGCTTGTCCTGACTTGAGCGTTGGAGTGCCTTTTGCAGGTACCAACCCCTCTACTCACATCGGATTGGAGTACTCGTTCGGCCTTCAGATTACGAGAAGATCATTGGTGTACCCCCTTTGTAGGTACACGAAGTATTGATAGAAATGGAAAATGTAAATTGCAGTGACACAAGGAAAGAGTATCTTTGCTTAAAACAAGTTCAGAATTTGATATTGATTCTCCTCTTTCTTCCACTTGCATTGGATATTGTCCTGATATGCCATATTTTGGCTCCCAAGAGAAGGGGTCACAAAATCTAAAATATGTCCCTTGGGAAGATATATTCGGGCACAGGCGAACCCCACCAAGAGTACTTTTCCTCCTATTTATAAAGACCAATGTTGGTTATCCCTTTAGAGTAAGCTACATTCTACAATTCTCTAAAGCATTCATCGTTTTTTCTCTAAAATATTATTCCCCTAGCTGCTACTCTTAAAATGGCATCATCTTGGACGGCAAGGCAAAACAAACTATTTGAAGACGCTCTTGCTATATATGACAGGGAAACCCCTGACAGGTGGCAGAATGTGGCAAGAGTAGTGGGAAAATCCGTTGAGGAAGTTAAAAGCCACTATGAGATCCTCAAAGAAGATGTTAGGCGCATTGAGCGTGGTCAGGTCCCATTTCCTAATTATACAGGTATGCATGCTTCTGCTAAATGCTAATGCTATATCTCTCTCTTTTATTCATCCAAACAACCATTTCAATGTCATTGCCTTCATTTTATATATTATATATCATTGTTACAGTAAACTACTTGGATTACCCATAAAGTTTTTCTTTCTTTTTTGTTTTCTCTTCTAATATTGATGAATGAATTATCGATATTTATATTTATAAATTAATAAATATTTAAAAATAATGTACAAGTTACAAAGCCATGCAGTGATCATGATTTTTTGTTGTTTTCATGGTTGGCAGGTTCTTGATGATCCAGAATGAATCCAAGATTAACATACTCAGTAGCGTGGCGTTTCTCTTATAAATAAATGTATTAGCAACATCAAGTCCTTAAGGACTTAGCTTTCTATATATGTAAAATATATATAACTTATTTTATAGGTTCTGTAAGTGTTCTCAAAGAAGTTACTGTTTGTAAAATAAGAAGTTTGCACCGTAAATTGGCTTGTTTGTCATTTTAAAAAAATAGAGTGAATACAAATAATTTTAAAATAAGAAAACAAATGTTAATTTATTATAACAAAATTAATTTAAATTTAAAGTACAACATTCATAAAATTTTGAAATTGTAAATATATTTAGATTTAAAGTAATTTTACTTTATCATTAAAATGATTTAAAAAAAAAACACATTTTCAAAATAATATTTTAAAATATAAATTATTTTTAAAAATTGGTTCTTTCAATATCAATTCTTTCAACATTAATTTCATTAAAATCTAAAATAAAAATTAATTGAACATGAACACAAAATAAAATTATTCATTAAGACATTTTTTTATTTTTTATTTAACGTTATCCGTGTGATATTTGGATTATTTTGATAAGCTATGTAATATGATATCTAAACTTTTCTCATCATGATAGTTGTTACCACTACAATAAAATTAGTTATTAACGACAATTATTTAATGACAATAATTTAATTACTGCCATATAAAAATATTAATGACTAATATATAATAGTCACTAAAAATATATTTATATTACACTAAAGTTTACTATTAACGACAATTATTTATTAGAAAAAATTTAAGTCTCACATCGATTAGAGAAAATAATTAAATAGTATATAAGTGAGTATCACCTTACAGGTTCATTTTATAGTGTTGACTCCTAATTCACTATTCTAAATTAGTATCAAATCACCCATTATTACCAAACATAATAGTGTTATAAAATAATTAGAGAGCAACTTTTACCTTATAAATCTCACATTTCTTAAGAGACAAGACAATTAAAAAAATAAATTAAAAAATATATAAATAAAAGACAATCATCATCTTACAAATCTCACATCGAGTAGAGATAAAAAAAAAGTATATAAGTTATGAATTTAGAAAAAGAAATTATAGGAATAAATTATTTAAAGTAAAGGAGACAATTGAAAAAATAACTTTTAATAGCCTTTAAAATGGCTACTAGAATTGACACTAAAAAAAAATAAATTTTTTCGACAATTTAGTAGATTTTTACCGACATTTTATATAAATGTCGATAATAATATTAGCGACACTGGATATACCAGCCTTTATTTAAATGCTAGTAAAAAAAATAATAACTATTTATATGGCCGCTAAATAATAAATTAATTGCCACAAAAATTTAATTTTGGTGTAGTGTACATAAGTTGTATTAAGTTTTATATTATATAAGTTAATAAAATTATGCTTAATTAAATAAATAGTATTTTTTTTTCTTCTCTATGAAAACCTTAAATAAATTTATTAAAAGATCCTCTAATTTTACTTTTTCCTCAATTTCATGAAAGAAGTTATTAGAAAAAAAAATGAGATTTTGATTTTTCATTTATACAAAAACTAATTAGGATAAAGTAATAAAATGTAGGAATGAGATCAACATGGATAACAAAAAAAATTAAATTTTAATTTTAACTCCCTTATACACATGCAAGAAAAAGTTTACAATGAAATATAATTCTTTGATGAAAATGCATTATCAACAATAAAAATCGCTTCAAATAAATTCAATTGATGGAGAAGTTGCTCCTTATAAATTTTGTTGTTGAATGCAGACAACAATGATGTATGCTATGAATTTAGTTTCAAAATAGATACTCAATAGTATACAGACACTTAGAAGAGAACATAAGTATCACATTTTGCAAAGACAACCATAAAAACAGCCACCACAACTTTTTAGATGAAAATTTTCGTGAGTTGATTTTTCATTCTCCTTTTCTAGATTGTGTTTCCTTTTTGGCTTTTCAACTAAACCCCATTTCCCTTCTCAACTACCTTCAATTATTGTTAGTCATGGAGTATGAATACTCAAATTTAGATTCTTCCATTGTTAAACTTTTAACACACAATATATTATGATAATGATTCTGTTTCCCGGTTTAGGAGAAGGTTGGAGGCAACTGGCAAATTTTTTCATCTGGGCACTAACCTTGTATATGTATTATTGTAATTTAAATTTTCAGTTACAAAATTATAATTATAATTTTAACTTTTGATTAATGGAATATTACACAGAGGATTCAATTAATAAAAAATGAATGATTACAAAATTTAATGTATTAAACGTTATAATAATTAATACAGGTTTTGAAACATATGAATATAAAAACACCTTAAATATTAAAATATAACGAATAAAATCCAGAATAATATAACAATGTTTGACTGAACTTTATTGTCACGCTAAATTTATAAATGCAGACAAATATTAAAAAATACAGATAGTTATCCAGAATAATATTTGTTTATATGTAATTATTAAAAAAATATAGATAATTATTCAAAAAAATATAAAAGAATTTTATTTTTTTTTACATTCTAAGAGGTATAATAATCTACTAAAAAATAAAAATCAAAAGAGTGATTATCAAAATATATCCCCAGATGGAGTCATTCAGAGTTTTTCAATAAGTTTAGTTAAAACGGTGGTGTAATGCAACCCGAATCATCAAAAACAGGGTCGAGGTTAGAAAGGTTACACAGATCCAGTGGGCCGAAAGCCCACCGCCACGCACCGTGCAAGTTGTTTGATCTGTTTGTTTCCATGTTGGGACAATAAACGGCAGTCGTTTAATTAGGCGTGTGAATTTCTCTCCACGCAACGCAAGTTTTCCATTTCCGTTTAAACCCTAGCAGAGGGTTTAAGCTCGCGCCACGCAGCGAACTATAGCAAACAACACTAACCTTCTTCATGATCCATTCGGAAGCCGCATTCTAAGCCATGGCCGCTTCAAGGTTAACCTCATGCGTCGCCGTAACATCCGCCGCGGTGCTTTCCATGTCCACCTTCTCCGATCGCGCCTCCGCCGACTCTTCCTTTCGATTCCCTTTCTTCAGTTCTTCACCTTCCAATGCGCCGCCGCCGCCGCCGCCGAGCCAGGCCTCCGACGGCAAGTCCGAGCCTCCGCCGCCCGACGAACCTAACAAGTCGGGTTTCGACCCGGAATCGTTGGAAAGAGGAGCCAAAGCTCTCCGCCAAATCAATAGTTCTCCCTACGCCAAACAGGTTATTTTGCTTTTGGTTCTGGAACTCAATCCGCATCTTTTGTTCTGGTTTAAACTAGGAGTGACGCGTGTTCTTTGCACTGGGAAGGAATTTGGTTTCCTGATTTTCTTATTTTTTATTTTTTGGTGTTGTTTTGCAGGTGTTTGATTTAATGCGGAAACAAGAGGAAACTCGCCTTGCTGAAATAGATGCTGAGAAAGTTCATTACGAACTTATTCAGTCTCAAGGAGATATTGTAAGTGATCAGTCATAAATAATTTTTCAAAACTTCTATATCTTGTGTAGCTCGTGATTTTCTTTTGGGCATTTCTATTTTTGCTTGATATGTTGTGCTTTACCAAATAGATCAAACTAAGTTATTAAAAGACACAGAGCTTGTTTGGATACAAGCTTAGAAGTTCTTTTAAGAGCTTCTCTGTTGAAAATAACTTTATTTTCAGTAGAGAAGCTTGCAAAAATGCTTCTAACTTGTATCCAAACAGGTTACTAGTACTGTCTTCCACAAAGCTTTGGCCTACATTCTATATGCAAGTAAGACTGGGTTGGCTGGCAACTTTGTCAACATTTTAAATTTCTATTTTTTCTGTTGGGCCAAATAAATTTCATTGCAGGAAAGGCAGCGGAAAATGGCTGAAGAACAACGCAACCTAATACAGGAGCAAGCGCAGAGACAGGCCCAGGTGATGCGATATGAAGATGAATTGGCAAGGAAAAGAATGCAGGTGCAGACGATATAAACAATATACTATTATTTTTTTTGTGAATTTAGGATGTTCTGGCATTTAAACTAGCATCTAGAAACATTTGCCTGCCAGAGCAAAAATATGGTGACTTTTGAGAATTGTGGATGTGGTTTAAAATATATGCAAAATCATGCTGAGCTTGAGGTTATACTTAAGGTTAGTAAATTCAATTCTGCTCTTTGGTCCAACTAAGGCACCGAATATACTTTTCCTAACAAACTTAATCTCTTTTGGTCCTTCCAAATAATTTTTTTGTTAAAGAAATATATTCTCGACCAAAATTTTTAGTCCTTCCAAATATGGTCAGTTAATGTGTCAGCTAATGATTTTTTCAACAACTTCCAAAATTTGTCCTCCCTATCTATATTGGTATTCACTGTTCAAAATACTGTAGCAATAAGAGTTATGGTGAAAATTCCATAAAGTGGTCTAACTGTTTTTGGATATTCAGAAGTTCAGCCCTATGCAAATTAAACGTCTCCATCTTTGAAGTTTTACAAGATTAAAATGTTTTATATAGAACAGTTATTCATAAGTTGCCATTCGCAGACAGATCATGAAGCCCAAAGGCGACATAATGTTGAATTGGTCAAGATGCAAGAGCAGTCTTCTGTAAGAAAGGAGCAGGCAAGACAGGCTACTGAAGAACAGATTCAATCTCAGCAGCGTCAAACTGAGAGAGAGAGAGCTGAAATAGAAAGAGAAACTATTAGAGTTAAGGCAATGGCAGAGGCTGAAGGCCGAGCCCATGAAGCAAAATTGACTGAGGATCATAACAGGAGAATGCTTATAGAACGAATGCAAGGTGAAAGGGATAAATGGCTTGCTGCAATTAATACAACTTTTAGTCATATTGAAGGTATGCAACTGATAAGCACATCAATATACTTTTATGGTTTTGCCATTATTTATATGATCATATTGTGGATATTTACGGTCTTGTGCTACTTATTTCTATTTGTGGATAAATTTCTATGCAGTTTCATTTTTATTACGTCAATATCTGTTTCCTAATTGTAAATGTAATTAATAGTGATATGGATATACCAAACTTAAAATGTTAATTTCATTGTAAAGCTTGTATACAACAGTATCCATTGTTAGCTTAAAGGGTTATTAACTTGTTACTATTGGTAAATTTTGCTCAAGTAAAATCTATACAAAAGAATAAACTGGCTTGTTGTATGTATGAAACCTAAATGCATAACACAAGTCACATCCTTACATTTATGTGTCTGCATCTGTATTTCCTGTTCTTGCCATGACAGGGAATGGATATCAATTTGTAGTAATATTTCATTCCTTCTGTTTGTATGGGGAAAATCTTGCCAGTGATGGTTCCCAGGATTGTTAATCCTTTTACTTGGATAAATTTACAATTATTACAGCATGAGTTTTTAAGCTTGCTTCTGTACAAGCTTTTCTCTGGTTCGAATCTTGCACAGCCGCATTCATGGTTGTGTGATATTATAGAGCTCTGCTTTCAAAATGTAATTTATGCTCTAAATGTACTCTTCTGAACTGCAGGTCAAATTTTATTATCTTCAAATATATTTCTGCATATTCTTTTAAGATGTGATTTTTTTGTTTATTTGGTTACCAAGGCACGTGTCACATAGCCAAAATGTTGCTAGCTTGTATATTTCATCTCACTACATTTTCCTTATCATGGTGACCTTGTTTATATCAACTATTTTCAGTGGTAGAAGATGAGTTGATCTTTGTTTTGAAAATTATCTAAGATTAAGAATTTGTTGTTATAACTATCATCTGACGTGTTAAAATATGCAGGTGGTGTAAGGGCCTTGTTGACAGATAGGGATAAATTGCTTATGACTGTTGGAGGAGCTACTGCACTAGCTGCAGGGGTATACACGACTAGGTAGATTGTTTGTGAATTTGATTTTGAACTATGTAACTTTAATGTCTATTATGATATACAAATTAAATCATCTCAAGTATGTCACTATATTAATGTTTGTCTGTCTTTGTTCATACGAAAAACTTTGTGGATGTGGTAAGACTGATTGCAAAATAGTTGTATCCAAAATGCATAATCTAGATATATAATAGCTGTTTTATGGTATTTTTCGATACTAAGCAAATGTATGGGGACTCATTGTTAACATCCACAGTATCTCTGGCAACTATAAATATCTAATACAGAAATTTAGGAAAGAGAGCTTATTTCTGTATCTTATGCAACAGATGTGATTGCCACTACTTAGCATCCAACTCCCAGTCCTAGACCATTTCCCAACCCTTCCATTCCCCTCAAGGAAAAAAGATAAAACATGAAGACAAATAAAACCAAGGTTTTTCATACTATAATGCTTCCACCTCCCTTTTCAATTCAACATTATGTATTTTGAAATGTTGTCTTGATTCTAGCACCACTTACAAATTTTTATGTTTAGTCCTGAAAACTCTTGGAGATAAACCACTTCAAATCACTTACAAATTCTTGTATATTTCTCTCCCCACTGCATGGTCAACTCTTGGTGAATTTATGTTCTTTGATCAAATATGCTCTATAATTCTGCCTTTTTCTTTCTTTTTTATATGATATCTGATATCTGATTATATATTGTATTATACTTTCTATCTTTACAGAGAAGGTGCTAAAGTCACTTGGGGCTATATTAATCGGATTTTGGGGCAGCCATCACTGATCCGGGAATCATCCATGGCAAAATTTCCAGGGTCAAAGATTATTTCTCAAGCCAAAAATAAAGTTCTAAATAATAGTAGTTTGGCTGGGGCAGAAAAGCCTATTGGGAGTAGAAATGGTCTTGGAAATGTAATCCTACATCCATCATTGAAGAGAAGAATAGAGCATCTTGCACGTGCAACATCAAATACCAAATCCCATCAGGCACCATTTCGTAACATGCTCTTTTATGGGCCTCCTGGCACCGGTAAAACGATGGTTGCAAGGGAAATAGCTAGAAGATCGGTAAGATAATTATTTATACACAGTTAAGAGTTGTATATTTGACTTGTTCTACTTTTATTTTATCTGTTAAGTTGTTTTTACTGAAAATCTGACAAGTTTCTTAGTATTTATGATGTATGAACAAAAGGATTTAAATTAATTGTCATGCTCAAATTCTGTTTTATATTTATTCTACCAGTGGGTTTGGTTTATCTTGTTAGCATTTTCCTTGAGTTAGTCAATGGAACTTCTTTGGAGTTTGGAAATTATTTTAAGGTGCATCATTCATGCTATTGACTACTCTTGATTTTTAACTACTGTTGACTCTATCAATTTTGATGTGAAGGGTTTGGATTATGCCATGATGACCGGAGGAGATGTTGCACCTCTGGGCGCACAGGCTGTTACCAAAATTCATGAGATATTTGATTGGGCCAAGAAATCTAGAAAAGGCCTACTACTTTTTATAGACGAGGCAGATGCTTTCCTTTGCGAGTAAGTTTTGAAGACTTTAAAATACAATTTGAAGACTACTGCTATAAAATATAACTACTTCAATTACTACTACGTAGCTGGGTAGCTAAAATTATTATTATTTTTTTTTGTAGTTTATCCAACATATGAGAAATGTAACTGATATTATGACAGTACTTTGAATATCTTTATACTTTCATACAAATGATAATGGTTTATATTTGATTTATATTGTATTTTTAATAAATATTGATATTTAGAATAAGGAAGTGTCTTTAACCTGAGTTATTCCGAGATCAAAGCTGTTTTTTTATGGAATTTGTCTGTATTTATTTTTATCTTGTTGGCTGTAACTTGAGGATTACAATTTTTACCCTATACATTGCAAAAGCAATTGGTGTGGGTAAGTTGGATAATAATGATATCTCTTTTTATAGCAATTGTTTAGTGATTATTTTTTATTTAATGCAGGCGTAACAGCTCACACATGAGTGAAGCTCAACGAAGTGCTCTAAATGCATTGCTCTTCAGAACCGGTGATCAGTCTAGAGACATAGTACTTGTCCTTGCGACAAACAGACCAGGTGATCTCGATAGTGCAGTTATTGATCGTATTGATGAAGTGATTGAATTCCCGCTTCCAGGAGAAGAGGAACGTCTAAAGTTATTGAAGCTCTATTTAAACAAGTACCTTCGCGATGACAACGATGGCTCCAAAGGGGGCTTCTTGCTGAAGAAGCAGCCCCAGAGAATTACCATAAAAGATTTACCCGAAGATGTTTTCAGAGAGGCTGCCAGGAAAACAGAGGGATTTTCTGGCCGAGAGATCGCCAAACTCATGGCTAGCGTCCAAGCTGCTGTCTATGGGCGTCCAGACTGCATCTTGGATTCCCAGTTGTTTAAAGAAATTGTAGATTACAAGGTGGTGGAACATCATCAACGATTAAAACTCGCAGCTGAAGGTGGCCAGCCTGGCCAAGTATAATTTGTTTGAGCATTTATTTGAATCTCCATTGAAGCTTGCTATGCGAGTTTTTTGGTTCTTCGTATTATTTTTGTCAGTATTTATGGCAGATGAAGCAGATTCGTTAAAAATACTTCACCTAGATGGATTTTGTGAGCCAAATTTACAGGATACTTCGGCTTTATTAATTATTAGGAATATAGGAGGCTCTAATGACTTGGAAACAGCATTCAAGCAGTACCATTCCAATTCATGCTATGGAACAAGATGCCAGGTCTTTTTGAGAGCATGGGAGTCAAATTTCCTTGATTAATAAACTTATAGAATATGCTCAACGATGTAACTTAAATTTGCATTTTTTATGAATTTGTTTGTTATGATTTCAAATAAAGGGTATGCTAATTTTAAAACTCGAATCATTTAATCCTTTATTGTGACAAACAGTAGATAGGTTGCCATTTGACACATTAATCTCTGGGCACGCTTGTTTTGGCATTTGGCACAATCGTCTTTGATTTGGGCATGCTGTTTTAACTCATTAGTGTCACAAAACTAGAAAACTATTAAAAAAAATAAACAGTGAAACCTGTAAAAAGACATACAAAAATTGTTTTATGCTTAATGTATATTTTTGTTCCTGAAAATAAGTATTCTATTAACACGTGGCATCATTATCTCTAGAGAATAAAACTAATTAACATTGTGTTAAATGAAATCAAAGGATAAAGTATTCATCAAGTGTTACGAGTCAAAATATTTATAATTTTTAATAAATTTTAGCCTATAAAAAATTAGAATAAGTGATAATATTTATAGCATTCTTCAAAAATAAAATGTTAAAATCAAATAAACGTAATTAACATTTTAGAAACACGAGGTATATTTAAAATTATAAATTTAAATTTGATAGTGACAAACTATGGACAAGTACAATTGACAGGCCCATCCTCTTGGCCTCTTTTGGGTCGATAGTGTAATTGACGGGTATAACATTTCTCCCATAAGGTTTTGATTATTTGTGCTCGATTTGTTTGAATTCTTAACTCTTAAAATATTTTTTTACTAGTTATGCTCAAATTTGTAACTACATTTTTTCAATTAACACTTCTTTTTTGAGTAATTGCATAAATATTTTTATTTTTATTTTTAGTAACTGCACACCATCACTTCTATATAGACAGACATCACTATTTTTATTTTAAAAAATGTAATTTTTTATTTAAATAAAATTTATAGAAGCCGCTACTAAAACATAAATTGTCTATACTTGTGGCAGCCATTCCATGAGGGGTTGCTTAGTTTTATGTGATGCAAGATGGTGATAATATTGTTCCGTGTTAATTTAGTAAGAATTAGCTACAAAAGTTAAGAGTAAAATTCAATCTACATAACTATTGTCCATGTCAATTTTCCTTCCGCTCACCCCACTAATTAGTTCACACCGTGGATCCTGGGCCACGCCTTTTGAAAAGAAAAAAAAAAGAAAAAAGAAGAGAAATTCCAATGGTACAAAAGTTATGCACAAAAAAGTTACACTCACAAAGAGATAAGATAGTTTACGTGACATAAAGAAAAAAGAAAAAAAAATGGTGATATAAATATTGATAAGTGCATTAATAGTTTAGTGATTACATTAATAAGTGATTAAAAAAGTTGTGACATATCATGCAGCCTAAATCCTAGCATGTTTATCTTGGTTCTCCTACAAGGTGGAGCAAAACCCGTTAAAGCAATGAATTCAAGATTGGTCGTGACTCGTGACTCGTGACGCGGGCCATGCGATGCGGTGTGTCCCTAGACTCCACGTGTCCAAAATCTGTCTCTGGACCCTCTAAATTTCGCCACGTTTCTCTGAAGCGCCACGTGGAGTTCATGCATATATCAACACTTAACACCCACCCTACCTTCCATTCCATTCTCACGGTCAAAGGAAAAGAAAACCGTTTTACGTTGAAAATGCGAAGCACGAAGGTTGTGTTATTGTTGGTGCTGTTTTTCACGGTGTGTGTGGGAACGTGCAGGCCTTGGGTTGAAGATGCCAAAACCAAAGCAGAGGGGGCCAAGCAGTTTGCAGGAGAAGACAAGTTCTCTAAGTAACGTTCTTTCTCACGCACTGTTTCCTTTTCCACCTTCCCATCATCTAATCATTCTAATCTTGACAAATTTTGCTCATGCTTATGCAACTCCAACATGTTTGTTCCATTTTATATAATTTGTCATGCATACATATCTGATATAAGTAGAGGTCAAAAGTCAGTTTTGTTTGTTTTCTAGGATTAAATTAGCCTTTGTTTTTACTCCCAAAAGTCAGTTTTGTTGAAGTTCTAGAATTAAATTAAACCTTGAATTTACTTTAAGATGTTGGCATCTATTTAATGATTATCGAACTATCGAGCAGTTATCAAATCGTTACTAAATGTTATGTCTTGTTTGAAGGTTGACTTAAGCCTAAATGTTGTTGGTTCTATCTTGATTTTTAGTGATTATTGTTAGGGTTGTTGTGACTATCATGTCAATATCGGACTATCCCCGGTTACCAAATCATTAGTAATTTGGATATAAGTCTATATTTTGTCCAGTTTCTCTGAAAAATGATAATCAGTAGCAGAGTTTCTCTAAAAAATGATAACCATCAGCGATTTGCATATAAGTCGATATTTTTTTTTAAGAGTTCCTGGACTGAACAATACTCCTTTTTCTCTAAATAAATATTCAAATAGTTCTCTACTGAAAAATATTCTCTGCTGAAAAATATTCTTTATTGAAAAATATTCTTTATTTACCATAGTTTCTCTAAAAAATATCCAAACAGGCTCCTATAAGTCTTGTTTGAAGGTTAAGTTAAGCCTAAATATTTTAAGTAAATGTTGAGTCTTCTTTGAAGGTTAGTTGACTTGAGCCAAAATGTTGAGTCTTGTTTGATGGTTAATTTAAGCTTAAATGTTGTTAGATCTATCTTAGTGATTGTTGTTAAGCCTAAGTGTTGCTGGTGCCTATCTTGATTGTTGTTAGGGTTGTTGGTGGGTTATCAGGTCACTCACACTTGACTAGAGTTTTGCATTGCGAAATCTTAAATGTTGACATTTTGTTCATCAGTTTGCAATTATTTTGGCAGAAGTTTCGGGGCTGAAGATGCTGCCAAAAGGACCACAGGGACAATGAAATCTGCAGCAACGGGTAATATTTGTTCAATTCTTGCCACTCTTTTTCATGCACCTCTTGATTAAAATTTGGAGTCAAATTTTGCTTTGTTTGTCTAGGAGCTTCTGAGTATGCTTCTGAAAAGGCTACGGATGCTAAAGAAGCAATTTCAGGAGCCATGGCACATGGAAGGGACAAAACATATGAGGCTTACGAAGGAGCTGCTAAGGTCATCAAAATGCCAACCGATAGTATTAATGATGTAAAAGACAAAATGGGAGAAACCGTGGCAGATACCTACGAGGATGCTAAGCAAAGAATGTACACGGCTTCAGATAAGGCTTCAAGTATGGCTCACAATGCCAAAGATAACATGGCTGAGTCCATAGGACAAGGATATGACCTGGGTAAGGAGAAAATAAACATGGCATCAGAAAAATTCTACGATGCCAAGGAAAAAGCAAGTGATGTTTATGATGAATCTAGGCATAAAATAAGTGACACGGTTTCGGATAATGCTAATGATGCTTCAGAGAGAATTTATGATGTGAAAAATAAAGTGAAAGGAGCAATGCATTGTGGAGGACACAAGGCCGTTGATGCCTTTGATGAAGCCATGGAGCGAATGACTGTGGCTGGGGATAAGGCCAATGATGCTAAAGAAAAAATGGGTGTGAGAATAATATATGGAAGGGACAAAGTAGCCGAAACTTTTGACCAGGCTCAACATGATTTGGCCGAAGCATACGCATCAGCAAAGAATATAATGACTGAAGAGGCCAAAACTAAGTACGAGGCTGCAAAGGAAAAGGCTTCGGATGCCACAGGAGATATTGGAGCTAAGATGAGGAACACTCCAAACGTGTAAAAAGGGCATGGTTAGTTTACCACTTACTCTTAACTATAAGAACCTCTATATATTGGTTTTTTAGTTCTACCTTCCACAAGTTTTTGTACCTATTATGCTTTCTTTTAATGCATTAGGGTACCTGTTTTTATATGCCTTTTCTATAATAGTGATACAAAACTACTTGTAATTACTAGCTAGTTGGACATTATGAAAACGAGAACACAACTCTATTCTCCTTAATGTTAAGGAGAAAAACCTGAAAGTTGTGGGGACATTGCAGCCTGTGTAGGATATGTATACGTAATTGTAACATTTTGCAGTTAGTGAGACAATTGATATAAATTGTTGGTCCCCTTTAGTTTACTAACTTGCTTTGTTATTTTTGTTACAAGAAGAGTATGAACATCTAAAAGGTGCATGGTTTAATTAAGGTAGCATTTCTTCTGAATTTTTTTAGTGGTCTTATTTATGGTGGTCCATATTACTCATTAATGCTAAACACGGACAAATTTAATAGCCTAAGATAGCAACTCTTGCCGGAATGCATATTGCAATTAATGCGTAAACTTGATATTTATATAGGAACAAAGAAATTCATTTTTTTCTAAATCTCTATATGCTACAAGTGGAAACTTTAGTATCGGACTAAATGGTGGGAAGATCAACTTGCACGAATTGATGGGAATGGTTCCAAGCATATATAGCATATTATTATACGAGAAATTCTAATGTATATCTCATTATATGGACAAAGCTTGTATATGTAGCCTACATTGTTGACCACACTGTATTGTATATAGATACTGATTATATTTGCGTTGTGGCTCATATATGTAGAGCGAGAAGGGGAATCAAAATTGAGCACTTATGAGAATAAGGACAAACAGATTGGATGTTATAGAAGATTAGATTTCTGTAAGATGCATGACAAAGCTAAGTTTTCATATATGATTTTGGTTTTTCAATGTCATAGCATTTCTTTTAAAATCACCATGAATGTTGTTCTGAGGCCAAAAGCCTTTTCCCCTTAACTTTAAACAGTAACTCTTTTTCTTGATTTTTTAAAGTTCATGTTATTGTCCACTGCGTCTTTCTGGATTTCCCTATAGAGCCAAAACATTTGGCAGCTAGCGAGGGCATTAAATTAAATTTGGTTACGGTATATAAATTATAATGGTGTTAGTAACTCGTTTTATAATGAGATTTTATTTTGCTTATTATTCCAATTAGCCTATAAAAATTTTAGATTGATCATTATTCATTGAACTTTGAACCCTAAATTCAATTATCTCACATTGGGTGAAATGGCAGAAATAGAGTATGTATAAATTAAACTGGAACCAACTTTGAATAAATCATGAAATTGAGTTGCACAGACGTAACAGCATTCGGAGGCATTATATATGGTGCGAACTGTATTGCTTATTTTAATCTTTGAGATTAATTTTAATGCAGTGATTTAGTTTAGATATAATTTTTTGAAATTAATTTTATTAAAAAAATATTTTTAATTCTATGATAATTTAGAATTGAATGACAGTAAATTTTTACATTATTAATATATTTTAATGAAGTTTTGTTTTTTAATGTGTTTTCCACGAAAATATGTTCAATTTTGTTCAGTAAAAAAACTCTTATGTAGTAAGCTGGAAACTGTTTAAAATGTCATTTTATGCAAGAAATAAAATATCCTTTCGTGACAATGTCTCTTAAGAGCAAGGATGTTACCTTATATTAAATTCTATGTAGACAGGTGGCTCAAACTAGGGCATCAATCATATCCAAGGATTTCATTTTCATGGGAAATTAATTGGTGATTAAAATTATATATATGTTGCCAATTTCCATAAATTTACTTTGGAAGTTAACCGGCTCACTGAAACTGTAAACGAAGGGGAAGTAAAGAAGCCTTTCCATACTATACATATTCCGACGATAATGTCCAAAAACCAATGCGTAAAATAGAAATGTTTGCCACAAACTAGTACTTTATATATGCAGATTTCGACGCGATACGACAATACATTATTCTTATTCCTAAGTGTAGAAACTGATTCAGCTTACTACTCCTGAGTTTCAATAATTGTGACTCTAATCGCATTTCATTTTGATATATGGAGTTTCCCTTTTTCGTACAAAAGAACTTTACTTTCACCAGTGTGCCTAAAATCACTGACAAGGTACGGATTCAACACATAAGAGACAGGAGGGGGAAAAATTGAAGGAAAAAGATAAAAAGTAGAAGACCTTAAGGGTGAAAATTGTATCCTCCCATGTTTCCAACCCTATTTCCTCGTTTATTTGTCATGATTTGGCTACATATTCCTGGTTCATTTGCGTAGAGACAACATAGAATACACATTATACATATTATGGAAAAGGCAAGTTGAGAAAAAAACGGGTATTGTCTGCTAATTCATGTGTCGGCCAGTGACCTGTGTATTCAATGACTATGAGAGGACAAAATTGTGGTTGGGTCATGACTCATGAGTAGTGTGGTGTGGTATCCTATTTTCTCCAAAGCCTTCTACATTGATTAGCAAACAAGTGAACAGGCTAGGTTCACGAACCAACAACACTTCCATGATTAAAATAGAAAAGTTCGTCAAAGTATCGTGCATGAAATATTGTTATTACAGCTAGACTAAGAACCTTACGAGTTATGACAAACAACGCATACCCATATTCATGTTCTTATCTCTTTTTCTTCTTTTCCCTTTTCTCTCTCTAGAGTTTTGCCCCATGGTGAAAATGCTAGTCACGCCAAAAGAGAGAAAGAGAAACTGAGAACTAGTCCGTACATATTTTTCTGCACCAAAAAAGCAGTGCAAATTTTCTTTGCTGCCTATGAACAGCATACATATGAGAAAATGAGTAATTTAAGATGGCAAGTTATAGCTGCTGTCAATTAATGTATGTATCTATGTATCTAGCTACAGCTAGCTTCCTCTGCCTGAATAATATATATGCATTATATATGCACATCTAATCTACAATTATTCACTTAAAAATTAATCTTTTTGTTTGTTTTTTTTTATTTATTTCTTTCCAAACAACACGGAAGAGAAGTAGTCTAGAAAAGATGGAAGAGTGAGACTAGCATAGTACCTAGGCTTACATTTGCTGCTTCTTACTAGTTGTTTGCTTGTTGTTGTGCATCCAAACCTTGAAAACCTGTCTCTTGACACCCACTTGAGAACAAAACTGCTGTACCTCCTGGTCATTGTGTTTCTGGATCTTCCAACCAATCTTGTCTGCAAACTCCATCATCCTATCTTTCTGTTGTTGAGAGAATTTGGTCCTGAACCTCTTCTTGGAAAGTGGTGCCTGCACTGACACCTGTGCTCCTGTGTTGGACTGAAACATGTTGAGATCTTCACTTGATGACTCAGCTGGGCCTCCAAAGGCCATCATCACTGGAGGAACCAAACCTGGTGTGGAGGAAGTGGGAACCAATCTATGATGGAGGGAAGATGAAGAGGGTGTAGAGAAGTGAAGGTGACCGTTGTGCTTGTTCGTGTAGTAGTTGTGATGATAGTTTGGAACATGTTGAGGTTGCGGCGGCGGTTGCAGTTGCGATTGCGGTTGTGGTTGTGATAGTTCACCTTCGACTTCTTTTCTATGGAAGTTGCGGTGGCACTCACACGCTGCGCATCTTAGTGATTCCGGCGTGCCTTCCTCTCCACTTGCCATGAACTCTCCACAACCATCCACCACGTGGCTCCCCATGCTTGCCGCGTGGTTCCGAAGACATTCTCGGTATCTGATCAACTGGGACGAGGTTGTTGCGGTTGCTGTTGTTATTGTTGTTATTGTTTGAGGTGTTGTTCTTGAAGGGTTCGATGTGGGAGCAATTGGGGTGGTTAGATCTGGATCTGATGTGGGTCTATGATGAGGTTGAGGGGGTGCAAGAGAAGGAGGTTGTGGTGGTGGATAGAGATTATGGTGAGGTGAGATTAATGTGTGAGGTTGATGAGGTGTTTGATGATGTTGATCATGATCACTGCTACTTCTTTCACCTAGAGTTGAGGAAGAGAGCTTGGAAGAAGAAGAAGAAGAAGAATAACCTAAAGTGGTTGTGGTTGGTATCTCTATTTCCTTATCTTGCCCTCTCGTTTCCATCAAAGTTTGGTTTCTGTGGTGTCCAAGATCTAGCTAGCTACGTTTGATCTCAACCCTCTAATTATGACTCGCTCTAATCTTTTTCTTAAACCATCATCATCTTGGTGATTTTTTGCTTTAATTATGCTTGTGGATCTGTGTTCCTGTAGCCTGCTTGCTCAACCCTAATTCATATATATCCCATCTAATCCAAGACCAGACTCAACCAAAGACATAATTACTAGCACGCCCACAATTATTCTTTGCTTATTCTGATATTGACGTTCTGGGTGCTAATCCCACCAACCAATTTTCACTAATCAATCCTATTCTCAGAGACCTAAGGAAGAAAATGAGTGATTTAACTGTATATATAGCAATAGCACCACTATAGCGATGGAAAGAATAATTTTATTTTTTTTTCTTGGGAAAAAACAAACAGAAAAGGATAAAAAAATTTGGTAGAAATTTAATGAAATGAGACTACTAACGGGGTCCCTAGGAGAGACCCAAATAAAAACATAAAGACTCACCTCCTAGGCTATAGAGATTTGAGGAGTGGAAAGCTTAATTGCACCAGAAACACAGCACCTTAGGAGACACAAAGGGAGTGTTAAGAGTTAACATTGATTAAGCTAGACATCTTGGTTCATATATATTGTTAATGTTGGTTTATGGGAAAGTGGTGTTAAGGTGGGAATAGGGCCTAGAAGGGTGTTGTTTCCTACCAGCCATCCAGCCCCATAAAAACCAAGTAGGAAAGGAACAGGGGAAGAGGTTGTTTTGCACTCAGAAGGAGTGGTGAGAATTTGTCTTGCAGAACAACCGACAAGGTCATGTTGGTCCTCTACCACAGCCTTCAACCTTGGTCCAGTTTTTAATTATTGCCCTTCTCACTCACTCTCTCCAATACCCCTCAAATCAATGTGTGTCCTAAACCAGCATATTTGTACAAAGAGACTAATTAAGAAGAGAGATCCTGCAACCTTACATAAGTTTATAAACCAAGACATGAGCCACCGAGGCTGCGGACAACTAGCCTAAACTTATTTCAGTGTAATTAGTCTTGATTTAAACAACGTCTTAAATACTTAAAAAAATTGTTGTCTATAATAACCTTACTTAACTCAAATAAGATTATATCTAATAGAAAATATGTGTTATAGAGAAAAATAGAATACATGCAATGGTAGTAGTAATTACACAAATTAAATTAAGATAGGTTGTGAAAGGATGGTTTTGTTTAGTTAAGATAATCAGTAGAATCCAAGAATTTGAGTAAAGGGCACCTTTCTTTATTGAGGAAATTAAAGGGAGTGAATGCTTGCTGGGCCACTACACAGCACTTGTCTTGTTATGGTGTGTCAGATTCTCTCTCTCTCTCTCTCTCTCTCTCTCATCGAGGCTCTTTGTGTTGGTGACTTTGTTTGTGCGCCTGCTTCTGCTGCATTATCTGCAACCCACTTCTTTCCTTGGACCAATGACTTACTTTACCACACCTTGCTTCTTTCACGATGCAATTGATGCTTATTTGCTACCTTTGTTAGCATCTTCTTTCGCATTTCTCTTTCAGGCATCAATTTGTGCTTGTGCTGTTTTGTTTACTTTCTAGTACACACTCGCGTTGCCCACTACATCAAAAAACACACCAGCAAGGAACTCTCTTATTTGACTTTTCCCTCGTTTAAACATGTTCATCATTGTTTCCACACTTTAAGTCTTCATTAAGAGACTATAATTTCACTTTCATTCATAAATAATATATACATTATGCAAAAACCATGCTTAAAATGTTCTTTCAATGTTTCACATTTCAGACCATGGTTTGGGAAGAAATTAAAACAAAATGCTTATCCGTTAAATTAAATCATCATTTGCCTACTATATCTTTAGTCTTCAACTGTTGTAACTCTTATTATTTAATTCATATTGATAAAAAAAAATTTATATAAAAAAAAATCTCAAGCTGTGCCCAATTCTTTACCATGTAGTTTTTGGATTAAATGAGATTCAAATAAGGATGAAATAATTAATTGTTTGAACGAAAGAATAATTTTAAATGGACAGTGTATCATTTATTTATAGTAAATAGACCACTAACAAATTAGTGAATTAACTCCCCGCTTTACAAACAATAATTGTTGCGTTAGAGTTATTCTATTTTAAAATGAACATAGTTAACCTAATTATACTCAAATATATAGAAAATCAGACAATTATAAAGTTTATTTGATTTGATTTTTTATTAATTAACTTTAACTTTGTATTTTTTACATTTAAGTGCATTTCTCGTTTTAAAAGATTTATTTTCATGATATATATATATATATATATATATGTATGGATTTTTTTTTTGTTATACAGATATGTATGTACATAGATATTATTTTGTTAATTTGTAACTGGATTAATATAAATGTATTAACTTAAATGATACAAGTGATGAAAGACTTATATTATTTAATTAAGTGATTGAGATTCGAATTTTTATTATTAAACATGGATAAAACTCAAATTGGAAGGAAATCCTCACTATTGTTTTCAACTATGTAATGTCAACATGGATGATTTACCTTTGAACAAATTGAAAAAGTTAAAGGTTGCAAACTATACAATGTACCGAAAGTATAAAAGCATCACTGGAATCACAGTAAAAGAAATTTTCGTGATCTATCTCTATTAATTTTGTGTTATTATTAGAGATGCCGCAATCTCGCAGATATTGGTTTGCGTAAGTCACAAGTGTAGACTTCAACCAAGTAAAATATACTCATCAAAAAAAAAAAAAAACAAGTAAAATTTGGTCTTTTTTTTTTTTTTTGTTTGTTCTCCTGAAGTATCCACTGTTGATAACAGTGACTAGTCTCCTCGCTACGTGATTTGTGCGGATTTATTAATTTGCAAAAATTAACCCACTTGTCCACTTAAAAAATAAATAAATAAATAAATAAATAAACTATATTTCTTGTCATTGTAGAAACATAAAATCATTTTGTATTTGCATATCTTAAAATAGCAGAACTAAAACAACAAATTTAAGCATGGCAATGAAGGGTTTAATCTGCTTTATCCCTCACTTTTGTCATTACAATTTCACTTTTTTCAAAATAATTCTTCCCATGACGACTCAATCACTCAAAGTGCACTAGATATAATTTTAAAATCAAACCGAGTTAAGCCAAAAATAATGATACTTTTGGGTGAAAAAAAACTGAAATTAAATTGTAATTGTGATTAAAAAATGAATATAAAATTCGTATTTTGTCTATATGTGCATTCAACGCGTCAATTATTGTTCTCAGCTTCAATCGGAGGGAAGTTGAATTTGGATCGTATATGATTGCGACTCTTAGGTGTTGTAGACTTTACAAAGGAAAATGATCAGCCACTGTTACTTATTTACTCTTAAATGTATCAATGTTTAGTAAAGGTAAAATTCTTATAATATTTTAGTGATGCAGGTAAACTCATAAATCTTACCACACATGTTTAGTACAAGTAAAACTCCAAATAATTAAAGGTAAAATTAATTATGCAACATTAAAGGACAAATAACAACCGTGGGTATAACTGTATGAGTCCTTTTTTTATTTATTAATATCTATTTTTACCCACATTTAAGGACCATAATTATAAGTCAATAATTTTTTAACAAGAGCTTGTCATGTTGAACTTGACACCCTAAATTACAATTAAGACTATAGTGAGAATTAAATATCTTATAATGGTCAAATAATTGTTGTTATACGACTCGTAATGAATGGGTGAAACGGTTATTCTTAATCAATGTCAAATGGACATGAGCTTAATAATTAATGTTCAACTTTTAATGACAATATTTTTCTATCATAAATTTCTTTTGGGTTTATATTATTTTTTTTTAGCACATATGTATTTAGAGTTAAAGTTCTGTGTTTTGTTTGTTCCAAATTTATTGTGAGTTTAAATTGTTATTTTTCATCTATTTTCCAAAAAAATAGATGCTATTATTCATTTTTTGCACACATCAATTTAATGTAGAATGATTTTAAAAAGAAATCCTATAAACATAGTTCGTATTTGAATTCTAATTAAAACATCAAACGTCGTTGTCAATGATTCGTAACATAAGGGGAAAATATGCGATAAAATCTACTGAGTGAACTGGAATAAGTTAGAAAAAAGCTGTCAACTCATTGATCTTTGGGAGATGCTATTAGATCTTGTTTATATTTTAGATAAAAATGTATTTTAAGGACTTTTTACAGCATTTTATTATAGTTTTTCAAAACATAAAATAAGTTAATTACCGCATAAATATTTTTGATAAAAAAATTTCAACAAAAATAATTAACAACAAGGTTGGGTTATTCAGATAAGTAAAATAATCTCAAAACAACCCCTTCATTGGATTCAAACCTATTATTTTATTATTCACCCAAAAACAACCTATTATTGTGTTATTATTTTTATATGTTACATATTACATATGATTGTAAACAAAGTTCAAAACCAGACTATAGAATAAATACAGGATAGTTAAGCATAATTAATCTAGATTCTACCAAACTAAAAACTATAATTTCTAATGATTATATTTAGATATATTTTAACAAAAGAGGAAAAAAAGAACAGAAAATCTATCAATATCACATATATTGACAAGTCCTTCTCAGAGCCTCAAATCCTATCTTATTTTGATCATACTTCAATTTGTATATCTATGCTATTTCCTTTATTTTATTTTATTTTCCCGTTACCCCACTTATATTATATTTGTCATTAATTCTTTTTGTTTTTCTTTCTCATATATCCCTTTCTCCCGAAGATGTATTGATTTGGAGATTGAAAAAATCTTTTTGGAATAACATAATGACATTGCATGCCATGCCATGCCAAAACTTTGTTAAGGGAGAAAAGAGTACGTGTATTTTATCATTGATTTGAAAGTCATCATAGAAATCTATGGTAGAGAAGTAAAGTAATTATTAATGTTATTCTAATGTGAGGAATGTATCTCTGAGACTCTCTAACCTTTTGCATAGCATAAAATGAATAAAATATTACGTAACATCAACTCAAACACGTAGGAATCATATCTTATCGTACTTGCTTATATGAAAGGAATTACGGAACTAAAATAATTGTCACTTCTCAAAAAGAGTATCTAACCACTTGTGCAATTAAATAAGAAAAAAAAAAAGTTCTCTTCTCAAAGCTAGTTTTTATTTTTCCCTTCTTTTTATTAGAGAAAATATTACTCGATTTAGTCGGTGGTTAAAAGAGAATAAGATAAATTATGATAATAATAATAAAAAATATATATGTCATATAAATATAATAAAAGCTTGTTGCTTTTACCTGATTTGTTGAGAAATATGAGAATAATAATAATTAAGTATTTTGTATATTCCATAATTAATTTAAATTTTAAAAAATTACAAAATACAAATGAAAATTAATATTTGATTGAGAAAATTAAATAGAAGAATAATTATTATTTACATGTTTATTATTTTGTGGAATTGAAGCAGATCACAAAATCAATTCCTCTGAGTGACATTTATGGTTCATTTGTTTTGATGGACGCAAAAAGCCTATATTTTGTAATTCTCTTCTCTTTGATGCAACTAATTCTTTTTTATTCAGTTTTTTTTATGCAACTAAATTGTGGAAGAAGGTGAATCGGCTTCAATTTCATGCCATGTCCAATTTTGGATGGAAGAGAAAATGAAGGTTTATAGTTTATACATATATATATATATATATATATATATATATTATTTT